AAAAAAAAAAAAAAAATGTATATAGTTAACAAAGTGAACTATTCCACTTACATGGTGACTATATGGGAGTTTATTGCTCTAGTCTTTCTTTTTAAAGTATGTATAATTCAACGTTATGTTAAAACATGAAAAGCGCCACAGGTGATTCTTTGAGACAGCCATAGTTATGAACCACTGACCTATTGTCATCAGCAGACAGAAACCAACTAATTGGAACAAAGGGACCGTGTTGAGGGATGATGATAAGTAGGAATCTAATGCTAAATCCTGCATTACTGGACACAGAATCCTAGGGTGCAATTCCACCTTGAATCACCTACCAGCTATGAGACCTTGAGCAATTCACTTAACCTATCTCTGCCTCAGCTTCCTCCTCTGTAAGGTAGACAATACTAGATACATACATCTACATCTCACTAGGTTATTTTAAGGATGCGATGAAATAATGCAAGTAAAGAGCTTAGCAAACTGTCTAACACACACTGACAATAGTTAGCATATAGAGGACATACTATATGCCCAGACCTATTCTAAGTGCTTTATGTGTATTACTTCATTTAAATTCTTCTAAAAACCCACAAGGTAGACACCATTATTATGTGCATTTCACAACTGAGGTACTGTATTTTGCCAAGTATAATGCACACTTTTTTGCCCAAATTTGTGAGGGAAAAATAAGAATGCCCATTATACATGGGTAGTACTAATTCCGAAGCTATATACTATATTTCCCCATGTATAAGACGCACTCTTTTTGCGAAAAATGTGGAGTCTAAAAACTGGGTATGTCTTATACACTGCTTGTACATTTTTTTTACTTGCATTTCCCGCAAGTGATGAGGAGTTGTATGAATTTTATGATAAATAAAACTTGAGTTCAGGGCCGGCCGAGTGGCGCGATGGTTAAGAACTGGCTTGGGACGCCAGAGGGCCCCAGTTCGGATCCCACATATGAGGGCCATGGGCTGCCATGTGTGGCCAGCAGCCAGCGTGAGCGGCCAGCAGCCGCAGTGAGCGGCCGTCCAGAGGCCGGCGACTGATCTGCCTTGCCTGGGTAGAGCGCAATGATGGTGCCAACTTGGGCCAGTGAAGCAACGTCCTCCACAACTAGACTGAAGAACAAAAGGACAGCAACTTGTCTGTTCTCCTTCCCCCAATTCCCCAATAAAAATAAAAAATTAAAAAAATTAAAAACTTGAGTTCAATAACTTCACATAATACTTTTTTTTCAAATTTCAGGCCCCAGAATTAAGGTGCGTCTTACACATGGGGAACTACGGTAAATTTTGTAATTCTTTTATTTATGCTTATAAGTTAAGCATAACTCTAGAAAGCAATAACGATACCTGTATGCAAAATAATACCATGGAATACAATCATCAGTTTTGTTGAACTTACAATGTACTTATGACAAACAGTTCTTGGCCTTCTATGATGTGTAAATATTGTAAATTAGCTACCGATACATAAAACTTCTTGTACCTTGTATCTGTTCTTGTGTTTTATAGTTATTTGTTACATAAAATTTCTTGTACCATAATATGTTAAAAAATAAATACTAAAATTCCTTTATAATACACAAAACAAGTACCTAAATGTAAACAAATAAAATTTGAATTAGAAAATTAAAATGAAAGGTTTTTTTCCCTGAAAGTTTGGGGCAAAAACGTGGGTGTGCATTATACATGGCAAAATACAGTAACAGACACAAAAAAGCTGAAAGTAATTTGCCCAAGTTCAAACTACTTGTAAGAGGTACAGCCAAGACTGAAATTCAAGTCATACAGCTCCAGGTTATATTAAATATTAGGTCATATTAATGGCTAAATAAGAACTCTTATTGAGTTCTTTGCATAGTTCCATAAAAAGTTGTTTTGACTATGGATTTGACTACTTGATTATTAAATTGGGAAAGACTGCTAATACATTATATTAGGACACTTGAGATTTTAGCAAAAGGAAAAAAAGCTGAATACAAGTGCAGAGTAGAACTCAGAAAGAAAAAAACTATAAAGTTATATAATGGAAAATGATTGTGCAGGCAAAGATAAAAAACATCTTGATTTAACTGTAGATCATAAGATGATTATGAGTCAGCAATGTGGGGGCAATTACTGTATTGAAGAAGCAAGCTTAACATTGGATATTAACAAGTATACCATGCAGGAGCTGAGAATAATATTCAGCACTGGTCAGGCCCTTTTAAATATGTAGTGCATAAGAAACACTAAAAAGTTGGAGAAAGTACAAAAAAAACATGAAATATATAGAAAATCCAATTTGCAAAGAAAGATTACAGGGAGTGAGATTATTCAACTCACGGAAGGAAAGGCTGGGGAGTTACTCAGCTGTTAAAACTGGAAGGGTCTTTAAAGAGGCTACTATAAAACTTTGTAGCTCGAATTATTAAACATTAGAATGAACAAGAATCATAACTTGTAGATCTCCTTTCCTAGAGAATTTCCAGAAAGCACTCCTCATGTTAAACCAGTTATCTCTTGGATATTCATTTAAATTTACAAAAGATAAAATTATTGAAGAATGGGGTCTTAAAAATAAAATAATTGTTACAAATCATTTAACATGTTCTCTCCTGGAAGCCAGGGGATTTAGTAAGTATAACTCCATGTAAGCTCTACTATTTACCTTGTACTTCTCCCTCTTAATTAAGGGGCTGCAGAGATTCTATTTGGATATAAAATTCATTCTATTCAGAGGCCATTAAGTTATTTAATATTGTATGTCATTATGAGGTTTTTATCTAAGAGTTATATAGCCTTACGTTCAAAAAAAAAAAGTTATACTCATATTTCCGTGCAAAAGTCATAATAGCAAGTCCTAAGAGAATCATCATGTGCTTGCATTTTCAAACGGTTCCAACTTCATCCATGACAGGGAAATAGTACCATACCTGCCGAAACCTCTTTTTTATTTCTTCATCTGTCACTTCAGGATCTATCTGAAGAACCTGAAAGAATCAAAATCAAAACTAAAAGAAATTAAAATAATTTATAAATTTAAGAGGTACCCAATAATTATACATATTATAATCAACACCTAGAATAGCACTCAGCATTCTAGAACAGTGCCTGGCACACAGTTCTAAAGAATGCTCAAGAAATATAAATGAGCAAATCAATAATAAAATAATAGCTATACTATTTTAGGGTTCTCAGTTAATACAGTAGTTACTTTTACTCCATCATAAAAATAATAATTTAGGGCCGGCCAAGCGGCGCATCGGTTAAACTGACTTGGGACGCCAGAGGGCCCAGGTTCGGATCCCACATATGAGGGCCAGTGACACTGCCCTCTACAGCTAAGATGCTGAACAACAGCTCAACCTGGAGCTGGGCTGTCGTGAGTCACCGGCGACGGTGTAGGCTGCAGCCCCTGTGGCAGTGAGTTGCCATGGGCTACCGTATGTATCCAGCAGACAGCAGCCAGCGTGAGCAGCCAGCAGCCACCACGAGTGGCCATCCAGAAGCTGGCGACTGATCTGCCTCTCCCGGGAAGAGCGTAATGATGGTGCCCACTTGGGCCAGTGAAGCAACATCCTCCACTAGACTGAAGAACAAAAGGACAGCAACTTGTCTGTTCCCCTTCCTCCAACTCCCCAATAAAAATCTTAAAAAATAATAATAATAATAATTTACCTCATACCCATATACATGTTTTCAGACCACGAGAAAATACTGTATTTCTCCTTCAGTCATTAAGAAAAGTGCCCACTCCCAAACCCCTACGTATCTTTGCAAATGTGGAGAAAGCAAAGAACTCTACAGGGAAAAAATCAGGCTGGCTACTCGATTTTCAGCTCAATCCAGAAATGCCCACTTGGCTCCACTTTATAATTTACATGGCCCAATAGTTCTCAGCCCAGAGTGAACACCAGGATCACATGTGGAAACCTGATCAATGCCTGAGGCCCATTCTGATTCCAAATGGCAGAGACATCTGTATTTTTTTGAGCAACGCTGTCTTAAAAAAATAAATTTAGGGGTGGCCGGGTGGCTCAGTTAGCGAGAGCATGTGCTCTAAGCAACAGGGTTGCCGGTTCGACTCCCACATAGGCCAGTGAGCTGCACCCTCCGCAACTAGGTTGAAAACGGTGACTGGGACTTGGAGCTGAGGTGAGCTCTCCACAACTAATACTGAAGGACAACAACTTGACTTGGAGCTGATGGGTCCTGGGAAAAACACATTGTTCCCCAATAAACTTTAAAAATAAATAAATAGGGCCGGCCGAGTTACGCGTTGGTTAGGAGTTGGCTTGAGACGCCAGCTCTGAGCAACAGGGCCCCGGTTCGGATCCCACATGAGGGCCAGTGACGCTGCACCCTCTACAGCTATGCACCCTCTACAGCTAAGATGGTGAACAACAGCTCGACCTGGAGCTGGGCTGCCGTGAGTCATCAGCGACGGCATAGGCTGCAGCCCCTGCTGCAGTGGGCTGCCGTGAGCTACCTTGAGTGGCTGGCAGCCAGCGTGAGCGGCCGTCCAATGGCCGGCGAGCGACTGCCTCACCCAGGAAGAATGCAATGATAATACCAACATGGGCCAGTAAAGCAACGTCCTCCACAACTAGACAGAACAAAAGGACAGCAACTTGCCTGTTCCTCTTCCCCAATTCCCCAACGCTGTTCCCTTCCCCCATTCCCTAATAAAATCTTCAAAAAAAAAGAAAAAAAAGATAGGAGCTGGCTTGAAAGGTAACCTACTAGCCAGATTTGGGACAATTTGAGCATCAAAATAAATGATATCTAAACATAACCCACTGAACAAAATAGGAAACCCCAATTCCATGCTGACAAATAAATGAACTGAAACTTTGATAATGACAGGATATTCACAGTCTCAAAGTACCTCCCCAGAAAATACTTATTAATGACAAAAGGGAAAAAAAGTAACTTCATGAACAAACCTAGCAGGTACCTCTTTAAATGATCAAATTAACATCATAAGTAATGGGATAAATCAAAATCATGTGCCACTTTATAGGTTGCTAAAAGAACACAGTATCACTTTTGTGATATTCCTGCCAACATTGCATAAACCAACTCTAACATGAAGAATCATCAGATAAATTCAAATTGAGAGATATGCTACAAAATAACTGGCCTATAATCTTCAGAAATGTCAGGGTCATGAAAGTCAAGGAAATACTGAGGAACTAAATGTTCCAGATTGAAGGAGACTAAAGAGCCATGATGACAACTACATGTAACAGGAGATTCTGGACTGTATTCTTGTTATATAGGTCATTATTGAGACAAGCAAATCTGAATGGAGTCTGAGGATTATACAGTAACAATGTAAATTTTTATTCCCCGATTTTGATGGTTATATTGTGCTTCAGTAGAAGAATATTTTTTTTAATTGGGGAATTGGGGGAGAGGAATAGTGTTGGGGAATTGGGGAAGGGGACCAGCCAAGTTGTTCTTCAATCTTAGTTGTCAAGGGCACCAGTCGCCATCTGGCTGCCCATCAGCAGCTCGTGGCCTCTAAGCTCAAGGTGCTGTGTTACAATTTTAGTTGTGGGTGGGTGTAGCCATCATCCCACACTGGAGTCTAACACGGCAGCCTTGTTGTTAAGAGTGCATGCTCTATCCACTGAGCCATGTGGGTGGCAGCTGAACTCAAGGTGCCGAATTCAATCTTAGTTGCTGGCGGGTGAAGCCCACCATCAAACAGGCAGTCTTGTTGTTAGGAGCACATGCTCTCACCAGCTGAGCCATCCTGCCAGCTGTTGGCAGCTCAGCGGCAGCTCAGCTTGGGTTCAGTGTCACTGACCTATGTGGGAATCAAACCGGCGGCCCTATTGTTCAGAGCTCGCGCTCTTAAGCTAACTCTTAACCAACTGAGCCACTCGGCTGGCCCAGGAAAATATTTGTAGGAAAAACACAAAGTACTTCAGGGTGATGGGGCATCATATGGACATCTGGTCTTATATAGTTCAAGAAAGTCTTCATAGTGTACTTGCAACCTTTGTGCAAATCTGAGATTATTTTAAAATGAAAAAAATTCTTGAAAAATTTTTGAAAAAAAACAAAAGCAATCAATGAATCTGAAAAATATTATGCTAAGTAACATAAGCCAGATACAAAAGGACAAATATTATATGATTCCACTAATATGAGCTACCTAGAATAGGCAAATTTATAGACAGAAAGCAGAATAGAGATTACCAGGGGCTGGGGGAATGGGGAGTTGTTATTTAATGAGTTTGGAGTTTCTGTTTGGAATGATGAATAAGTTCTGGAAATGATAGTGGTGATGGTTGGATAACAATGTGAATGTACTTAATGTCACTACTCTACACCTACAACTGGTTAAAATGGTTTATTATATGTTATATATATTTTACCACAAAAAAAGTTTTTTCATAAGTGCTCAATAAATGTTATTTGTATAAGATGTAATAATATTTATTTCAAATTATTTTAACTGTGAACAATCAGAAGCTAGTTTAAATATCCTGCAATAAAGGAATTACTTAAATAATAATTATAGAGGCTTTAAAAAGTGTATAAAAATATTTTATGTAACAATGCAGCATTTAAAATAGCATGACGTATATGATCCTTATTTTTTTTAAATAACAGTTTGAGTATAAACAATTAAGAGTGGTTATTTGTCATAGATAGGATTATACATGATTATTTATTCTTGCTTTATATTCCAAATTTTAATAAGAAATATGATTTACTTATTTTTTTAAAAGAAATTTTATTAGGGAACAGTGTGTTTTTCCAGGACCCATCAGCTGCAGGTCAAGTAGTTGTTTCAATCTAGTTGTGAAGGGCGTTTTTCCAGGACCCATCAGCTCCAAGTCAAGTAGTTGTCTTCAATCTAGTTGTGAAGGGAGCAGCTCCAAAGCCCATGTGGGAATCGAACCGGCAACCTTGGTGTTATAAGTCTGTGCTCTGACCACCTGAGCTAACCAGCTCCCCCAATTTACTTTTATAATCAGGAGAAGCTTAAAGTTATAAAACTAAGAAAACACAAAAAGTATAGTTGCTTGTCTATAACCTTGTGATCATTGCTTGGTTGTTGGTTCTTTCATTTTTTTTTTTTTTTAATTGTGATGAAACAGAAAAATTTTAACAAGGAAATTAAATATAAGATCCTAAATTTATCAAGGCTAGCTATCCTTTCATATCTGAAAAGCAATCTATTTAGGCTGCTAAAAGATGATGAAGAATATTTGATAGGGCAAATACCATCTCACTTTCATTAACATGCTGCCTTTCAAGCTCTGCTCACAATGAAATCACCCAAGTTCAATTCCAGCTATGATACAAATTAGGGGTGTGTTCTGATATAAGTCTTCCTGTAACTATGCAAAGCTCCCCATCACGAGGCCACAGCAACATCACACTGCTCACCTCAAATGGGTTCAAATTGAAGTAGGAGGAACCAGGACGGGTCAGTCTTTCAATTTGATTTTTGGATGTTAGAACTGAATCTCTCTTCTCTATTTGTTTCACCTAAAATAAAGGGGATAAAAACTTCATTAATAAAGTTCAAAAATAAACTCTGAATTGTCATCTTAACAAGTTACTCACTGACATGTTCACCAAACATTTATGTGTCTATGTGTGCAAGCTATTTTGCTAACCACTTTGAGGAATAATTACAACAGCTACCATTTACTAATTTTTAATAATGTAAAAACTTTACACATATTTATTCCTCTCAACTATCCTATACAGTAAATACTTTTAGTCCCATTTCACAGATAAGATAACTGAGACTTAGAGAGGTTACTTAAATTGTTCCCAATTACCCAACTTGTAAACCAGAATTTTAAGCCAGTTTGATTCCAGGGCAGGCATGAAGAGAATTCAAAGATAAATAAGTCCCAGCCACTACCCTCAAAGAGCTTCCACTCTAATAATAGAAGATGTACTTGTGTGTGTTCATACTTAATTTACATGTTTTTAAGAAAAGAAAAATACAATTACACTGAAATATATACTAAAAGCAACATTAAAAATGCCTACGGGAGAGAGCAAATAACTCTGCCTACCTAACTCTAAGAGTTAGAAAAATTCCTGACCTGACAATACTAAGGAGAACAGGCACCAGGTAGACGTAGTCCCAGGAAAACATCCTTGGTGCCACTGCCCGAGTTGGAATGCTAGTTGGAATGAATGTCTGGTATGTTATTTAACATCTTTATTCTTCTGGCCAAATGAGTTTGGGAATAATTTCAGTAACATAAAAGCCATTTCTTCCCAGCCTCTTCCCTCTTCACTCTTTTATAAATAGCATGCCACTCTCCCCCATACCCTCTATCTTCTTTCCCAGACTTATTTTTCCTCATAGCACTTAAATCACTACTTGACATTATATTGTCCATCTTTTTATTGTTTATCCTTTCCTACAGAATGCAAGCTCTATGAAACGAAGACAGGATTTTTCTCTCTGTTGTTCATTACCATATCTCCAGCACCTAAACAGTACACTAGTATACATCAGGTGCTCAATTAACATTAGTTGAAGGGTCCTCCTTTAGGTACTTTCTCTCAACCGATTCAAACAAACCAGGATTGCTTTTTTCTTTTTTTAACTAAGAGTTGGTAAATGAAACAAGTTCCACTATACTTGCTGAGTAGTCATTAGAGGTCAATAAACTTTGGTACCAATGCATCAACACTGTCAAGTGAATTAAGCATTTCAAAAGGGCAGACTATAAAGGATGGTGCTCATTTCCACTTTTCAATTTAATGCTTTGGAGAAACTACTATGCAACAAGCATTGTTACAAATACCAGAGATAAAAAATGAATGAGATGTAGTGCTCCACTTTTGAGTAATTCACAGCTTGGAGAGGAACAACTCCATTCCTCAAATCCATGCCAACTTAAAGAGCTCCACCTTCAGCCTTAAATCTTAGAATAATGCTTCTGCTTCTGAAACCCTTTCTTATATATTAACTCCATTAACCCTCATAAAAACTCGTTTTAATATTAACTCTTGTTTTACAGACATGGAAACTAAAGATCTGCAACATCAATGCCTTACAAGAATTCAATCACAGTCAAGTTAACTGCCTTGCACCAATCCAGGCAGAGGTACCCTGACTCCAAATGGCATGCTTTTTTTTCATTTATTCATTTATTAATGTACTCAACAAATATTTACTGAGTAAACCACTATGTAGTAGGCGCTGGAAATGCGATCGTTAAACGAAGCTCGGACCAAACAACTCTCTTCCTATCACTATATGCCAAGCTGTTACCTGCTGTTAAGACCCAGAACAAATTAGTTCACCTATCTAAACCTCAAGTTTATCATCTGTAAGATGGAGGTAATGCCTACCTGGCATAATGCATAGTACCTGGCATAATGCATAGTGCCTGGCATTCGTGAAAAGCAGAAATAACCACTAATAAAACTCATTAAAGAGGACTAAAATAGAAAGTGCTTCCGTTTAGAATAAAAACGGGGGCCAAGACAGTTAAGTGGCTCCCAGGAAGGCCAGCCTCTGCCAGCCCCCCACCCATCGGACTTGGGGAGCTCTACGCGCGCCCAAGTACTTCGTTGGACACACTCGCCGTCTACCCGCAGACGTCTGACCCCGGCCCCTTTATTGTTGCCCAGGGATCCACCAGGAGCTATCAGGCAGACACACACACACACTCCCCCAGCCCCCCGCGCTCCCAAAGGCCAGACAGGAGGAGCCGCCCAACGGTCCAGGCCAGGAGGACCACTGCCTTCGCCCGCTGGGAGAGGAGGCCCAGGCGAGGTCGCTCCGGTGCCGCTGCTCCTCACTCGTGGTTCACCTCACTGTAGAAGGTCATAAATGCCTCTTCTGTACTGCCTCCGCCGCCCGAAGCCCCACTCTCTCCTGGAGCCGCCATTTCCCCGGCCCAGCCACCATGTGACACTCCTGCGCAGGCGCTTCCTCACATGATTCTTACAGGCCCGCCTCTCTAGCCCCGCCTTTTTCCTTGTGATCCTTAAAGGAATCACAGCCCCGCCAGACACGTGTAATCTAAGCCGACTCTTTGTAAAATTAAGGTGAAATACACATGATGTACAATTAACTATTATTATAAAGTGAACAATTCAATGGCCTTTAGTACATTCACAGTGTTGTGCAACCACCACCTCTATCTAGTTCTGAAACACTTTCATTACCCCAAAAGGGTATGTTGCACCAATTCAGCAGTTCCTTACCCCCTGCCCCTCACCAGCCTCCTACATCTCAACCCCTAACAACCAATCTGTGTTCTGTCTCTATGGATATAATACCTATTCTGGACATTTCATTTAATAAATGCAATCATACAATATGTGACCTTTTTTATCTGCCTTCTTTCACTTAGTATAATGTTTTCAAGGTTCGTCTACGGTATTAAATGCATCATTACTTTGTTACTTTTTATGGGTAAATAATATCCCACTGTTCTGTATGTATAAACCACAATTTGTTTATTCTTTCATTAGTTGATAGGTATTTGGGTTGTTTCCCTCTTTTGGCTATTGTGATAATAGTGGTGTTATGAAAGTACAGGTATTTGTTTGTGTACCAGTTTTCAATTTTAGGGGGTATATACCAACTATCTGAAGTGAAATTGTTGAGTCATATGGGAATTCTATATTTAACTTTTTGAGCAACTGCCAAGCTGTTTTTCATAGCGGCTGAACCATTTTACATTCTCACCAGCAACATACAAGAGTTACAATTTCTCCACATCCTTACCAACACTTGTTATTTTCCATTTTTTTAATTACAGCCATCTTAGTGCCTAGGTCAATCTTTTGCACAAACTCAGTAAGACCCTCCACTAGATGTTCAGCTTAGGAGATATTCAAGAAACAGCAGTATCAGAACTAGAAACAGTTTCTGAAACTGAAATGGCACTTAAATATCATCTGGGAACACATCAAATTATTATCACCAGGTGGTGGATTTATAAATGATTATTTTATCAATCCTGCTTTTGTGTTTTTCCAAGTTTTCTGCAATGAACATTTGAAAATGTGTCCTGCAGGCATTTCCTTCCATCCAAGTCATACAAACCTGGTCTGGTACTTTTCCAACCAAAAGATAATAAAAACTGTTCTACAATTCCATAGACAGCAAAAAAGGTAGTTTGATAATCATGAATAAGATAGATACTCTGGCGCAACTTCTCATCTAAAGGAGAAAAAAACAGGCCCAGAGAGAGAAAATAACATAGGCAAAGGCTATAAAATATTTTCTTGTTCACATTTGTTAGATAGCTGAAGGAAGGTCAAGGCAAAGCCCTCCCTAGGCTGCTATTTATGCTGTTCTCCACTTCATTGCACCACATCGATAAAAGTCCAGTTATCAAGCCCATTCAATAACACATTAATGCACTTTGCAGATATTCAGTGGCTATGTGAATGTGATCAAGGGGGGATTGAAAAGTACAGCGAGGAAAAGAACAAAACAGAGAGCTATAATAGAATGACTAAGGTGAAGGAAGGTTTCTCTAAAGTGACACTTAAGCTGAGACTTGAGAGTAAAATGTCAACGTAACAAAAGAACATTGACACCCCTTAAGTGACCATATACATGTATATGCACAATATTTTTGCTCACAACCCAACTGACTTAAGTCGAGGCATCCTGGACGTCAGCATCCTGGACATAGATATTCTCCACCCCAATCCCTTGTAGCATCTTATTAATCTTTTTTTATCGTATTAATCTTATAACATCTTATTGATGCTAGTGGTCCAGGAAAGGGAAGGCTTCCTAATTAACAACTTCAGGATTGCCATCGTGGGGCGGCTGTGGACTCCGTGACTCATTCTGATGACTTCTGACCCTCTCTTGCCGCTCCCCTCCAACCTCCTCCATTATTATTTTTCAATCGGTTGGTCTCGGAGACCTTGCTAGGGGTTGGCTAAGAATAGGGCCGACTCCTGCTCAGGATTCGCTGTGAACTACAGGAACCCCGCCTCCTTCCTTTCATGATTCGCTCCTCCTGGGTTCATGCCTCCTCTCCATGGGAAAGATTGGCTGCCAGGCCAATAACGACGTTGGCGCTTACGGGCAGTCCGCACCTTCTGCAACCGTGAGGTGCGGCATTGACAATCATGGCAGTCACGGCGTTGGCGGCGCGGATGCGGCTCGGTGTGCTGGGCGTGAGGGCCATGCAAGCTCGAAGCTTCAGCTCCGACCGGGTATGCCCCCTGTAGTGTCCGCTGCCCCAGCGGTGAGCACGGATGCTCTCCTCCTCCACACCTTTACCAATGTCCTTGTCTCTCCGCAGTCAGACTCCGGCTCCAGCGCGGGGTCGATCCGGGAGGCCGGTGGGGCCTTCGGAAAAAGAGAGCAGGCTGAAGAGGAACGATACTTCCGGTGAGGCCCACTTGGTCCCGAGGCTAGCCCTAAACCTTACAGACCTTCTTAAACGTACAGTCTCCCCACCCATCCCTTTCCGTTGCCATGGTGCGCCCCATACCCAGCGAAACTCTCGGGTCCCGGAACCCTCGCTCCCAGTGCCCTGCCGAATAGTCCTGGGGCCCTAAAACCCAAGCCATGTCCACTTGCGGGTCTCCAGGACTCTCAAACCAAGGCCCAACTCTTCCAGAATCATTTACCAACCCTACCGGAGGAATTCTCTCCGGGTCGTACGAAACGCCCCCCTCATTTTTCGCGGAGTGTCAAGATCCGACTACCCAATACATGCAGACCCTCTGAGCCTGACTCCCTCTACAGTCTTTTCCACACGCCTTTGCTTTGCTAGGGCCCGCATGGATGAATTCCCTGACTTTTCAGACCCTTCTAACCATTTATAGACCTCCAAGGGTCTCTAGCTCCGCCAGAGCGAGCGGGTCTTAGGAGCTGGGTGCAGCTGCTCCTGGTTGAAACCCCACCCCCCTCCTACTTCCTGGAGACTTTCGCCCGGTTCTGCGCAGCTGGGTAGATTTAAGTTTAGGAGTGTGGAGTGGGCTGGGCCCCTATCTACATTTATTTCCCAGCCCTGAGTTATCTTTTACTGACTAGTCTCTCCACAGTAGGGAGCGCGGTATACAGCTAATCTCGTTCTGCATCTCCTTTGGCCTATCTTTTTACTTCTGTCCTCTTTTGCTCACTCTTAAAAAGTATCACCATGGCACCTGCCATACCAGAAAGCCAAAATACAGCCCTTAGAGACCATCTAATTGAGCCACTACATTTTACAGTTAAGGAAAACTGAGGCCCAGATGTGGCCAAACCAACGTTTGAATCGTTTCTTGTTGAGACCTAAATTTGTCTACTAGTATTGGCCTCCATGCAAGAAGCCCCTTTTTGGCGTTTACAGTGGGCCATGCATTTCTATAGGCAAAGAAAGCTCTAGATAAATTAGGATAGATCACATTTAATTGTCCTTTAACTACATCCCTTTGTCTAGTACTCCCTCGTTTTGCTCTTTTTTCCCCCAAAAAGGGATTCTGTTCTCTTGGTTGTACCTCTAATAAGTTAGTGGGGACTTATGTCACACCTCTTTGGAGTTTTCTACTCTAAAGAGGAATCTGAAAGGACTAGCTCATGAATGATGGAATTTCAGTCAATAGTACCAGCAAAGTGGAATCATTTTGGTCATCTCCTAAAGGATAGATGCACCTTAACGTGGAGTATTCTTTCCCTAGCGGGGCTTGAGGGGGTAGAAGAGGATGACCAGCCAGACTCCCATGGGATTGGGACTCCTTTGCCTTGGGTATTGCAGGTTATGCTTAAAAATCTCTTTGGGGTAAAGGATTAGGATTAAACCCAGAGCCATTGTGTACTTGTAGAGCTCGGACTAAAGAACAGTTGGCAGCCTTGAAGAAACACCATGAAAATGAGATTATTCATCATAAAAAGGAGATGGAACGTCTGCAGAAAGAAATTGAGCGGCATAAGCAGGCCATCAATCAACTAAAACAGCATCATGATGATTAAGGGCACACAGTTCCCCATATAATGGCCACATATCATCGCCCACTTCTATGGAGACAGTTCTAGTCTCAATAATATCTACCTGTGCTACCAACAGATTATAATAAATTGTCATCGTTGAACTGTGTTTAATGTCTTTTACTATCTGGAGAGGAGTAGAGAGACACTCCTGGGCTGCTAAAATGAGTCAGATGGTACCTGCAATAGGGAGCTCGAAGATGAAACACAGCATAAATGCTGTGCCACATGGGGGGAGTTGGTGGAGGCAGGTGTGACACAGGGAAAGGCCTGTCTGAATTAGAGGTTCAGAGAAAGCTTGAAGGATAAACCCCAATCCAAGGTCAAGAGCAGGCCTGAAAACGGGAATAATTGCTTAAAAAGATATAATTCAACGCACCATCAATCCATTTTGCATTTACAAAATAGATTAGAGAACTCTTCATATGAACTAGTTATCCTTGTTCTAATTATCCTTGTGCAAATTGAGAGAACTAGAATTAGAAATTATGTATTGCCTATGGTCAGTAAGTTGGAGTTGAGATTTGGCATCCAGGTTTTTGACTCCTATATCTTAACAGAATCAGAATGATTTCTTAGGTTATATTTTACTTTACTGAGTGCTATTGACTCATGTTAGATTTTAAGGCCCTATTTAAATAAATTATACAAACGCTGTGTAACTCCTCTAGGGAAAAGAATAGAGATGAGGTGACACTTTGGGCCATTAGCAAGACATTTTTCAATTCAACAGTTCAATAGATCATTTGCTCCAGAATTAGATGAATCATTTGTTGCCAAGACCCTACTACCTGTACACAAAGGCGTTTAGGTCCACTGCATGGTAAAAGCTTGGACAAGTCATTGACCCTGCCCTTGCAGACAAGACACTGGCTGTTTCCAAAACACTGGTCCATGATGCTGCTGATGGACTGTTTATTATAGACAATCTGAGGTGTGAGGGTTGAAGTTCAAGTGGCCAGCAACAAAATGACCTCAAAGATGAAGTGCAAGAAATGATCATGATAAGTCATATGCCTTTTTTTACCTTTACAACAGTACAAAATTTGAAAAGTTTAAAAATTAGTTAAGGAACAAGTGACAAACATCTTCCATTTTGCATTTTTGTGAACAAAAAAGCATACAAAATCCCCTTAAGTTTGTAGGTGGTAGTGTTTTTGTGACTTCTTACAATCAACAATTGCCTTATTAGGAGTGCTATTCCTGAGTTGATTCCTTAATAGGGGTGTACCATCTGCTCTTGACATTTTATTATAAATAAAAGTCAGCTGATTGAATAAAGCAAGCAAAAAATTGAAACTTGGAAGATGAAGGATCATAAGCTTGAATTCTTTAAAAGGTGAAATGAATAATTTTTGGAGCAGCCTATAACTTAAGACTACCAAGTGTCCACGAGCCAGCAGTATCAGCAGCATCTGGGCACTTGTTAGAAATGCAAATTCTCAGGCCCCATCACAGACCTGCTGGAACTGAGCTGGGACCCAGCAATCTGTTTTAACAAGCTGCCCCAGGTGATTCTGATGTGCACTGAAGTCTGAGGATCACTGTACTACAAGTAATAGTTTTCATGAAATCTGCTGACATTCTTGGGCATAAAGTACTTTTGTAAAGGCAAATTATCAAGTATAATAAGAATAACTATACATATTTAATATAGCTCAATGTGAATGCTGTTTGAGGATTTAAAAATATGTTAAGGATTATTCTTGTGCAAAACATGAACATTTTGGGGCATAGCATTTCACAGAATACAATTTGGAATGTGCTCCACTGGTTTATTGCATTAGTTAAAATCCTTTTTGTTTACAAGTAACAGAAACCAGCACTAGCTGGCTTAAGGAGGAGAAAAAATGATTTATGGAAAGAACGGGCTATTGTCTCAGAATCTCAAGAAGACTTGAACAAACTTCGGGAAAGGCAGGGACCAGAGTAGCTCTGAGAACTGCAGGAGTAAATCTAAGCGGCTTCCTAGCCATCGGTGTCAGACTCATTGAGATCTTTTTCTTTTTTTTTTTTTTAAAGATTTCAGTGGAACTACACAATGAAGCTACTTAACAATTGCACAACAATTTATATTTATGGAGTACTTTACAATTATTTTGCTCATTAAATCTCATGGTCTTTCTGGCAAATATGTCCATACCAATAGTTTATTTTTATAACCAAAGTAACTAACACAGGGAACTGTGGAGTAACTTTCTCAAGGTCACACAACCAGGTTTGTGCTGAGCACGGACTTTACTGCAGAGCTCCTGGTCTCGAGTTGCAGTTCCGGTGTAGTGATTCAGCTGCCTGTTAGCTCCCTCCTCAAAATGAAACAGGTTGGGGGGCTTGCTGGGACATCTGGGGGTGGATGGTAAAGGCAAAGGTTCCTGGCAGTAAATGCAGAAGTGCCAGTGGTTGGCATTGGCCTTAGCATTTTGGCTGTGATGTGCATACCATCAGCATGTCAATGCATGCCTATATGGTGAAAACACACATTTACAATAGAGCCTACTTTGAGATTTTCACATCATAAATCAACTTGTAAATCTCAACCCAGGCTGCATATTGAAATACTTGGGAAGCTTTAAAATTAAGCCAGAACCAGTTAAATCCAAATCTTTGAGATTGAGGCCTGGGCATGGGTTTTCAAAAATCTCCCCAGGTTTTTCCGGTTTGTGGCCAGATTTGAGAACCACTGGTGTTAAGGATCCTTCCAGATCTGCTGCATGTGGTACGGGCTGCAGGTTGTTCTCTGCATAAAGACACCTAAGTGAAGAGGCCAGGGGAGGACTGAAATTCAGCCCACACTCTGCTCTCCAAGCAGTGTACTAGGGTGACATCTGTTCTGAAAAAGAGTCACCTTTTGTCTGATTCCCACAAAGAGGACTTTGAGTCATTCCACTATTCGTGAATATGCATTGCTGCATAGCCTACATATTCCATTTTCAGATTTTTAAAATGTACACGGTCTGACAATTAACTTCAGGAACTTGTTGCAACGATGTTGCTAACCTTTTTGCTATCAGAGGGATTATTCATTATGAATTTGTATCAACTGGACAAACAGTTAACCAAGTTTACTACTTGGAAGTGCTGAAAAGCCTGCGTGAAAAAGAAGAAAACTACCCGAACTTTTCGCCAACAACTCATGGCTCTTGCATCACCACAATGCACCAGCTCACACGGCACTGTCTGTGAGGGCGTTTTTAACCAGTAAACAAATAACTGTATTGGAACACCCTCCCTACTCATCTGATCTGGCCCCCAGTGACTTCTTTCTTTACCTGAAGATAAATATTGAAAGGAAGACATTTTGATGACATTCAGGACGTCAAGGGCAATACAACGACAGCTCTGATGGCCATTTCAGAAAGAAAGTTCCAAAATTATTTTGAAGGGTGGACTCTAGGCGCTGGCGTCAGTGCATAGTTTCCCAAGAGGATTACTTCAAAGGTGACCATAGTGATACACAGCAGTGAACTATGTAGCACTTTTTCTAGGATGAGTTCACAAACTTAACTGTCTGACCTCGTATGCATTAAAAATTATATTTAGCCTCTACTATATATTGGAAACTTCGTATACACTGGGAATATAACTACAAAATAATCACAGCTCCTGTCCTTGTGGAACCTAGAGCCGATTGGGAAAGGCAAGTGGCTAAACAACAGTGTGGGAAGTATTCTGATGGGAGTGAGTGCAGAATGCTGGGGAGAGATGCTGGACATGCACCACCCAGACCTTGGGTTTGAAGGGACCTCATGGTGGAAAAGATAAAACAGCAGCCAGGGAGGGGGTGGCATTCATGAATGACAGCATTTGAAGAAGCCTGGCCCTGAGACAGACCATGGGTTACTGGGGAATTGACAATAGTTCAGCCTGTCCATCTGGAGCACGCAGGGGAAGGAGAAGGTCTTATGGTTGGAGGTCCCACCAATCTTCCAAGGGCCAGATTGGCCACTTGTAAGCATAATCATTGTGTTCCAATCCTCAGTCCTTCCTTCCTCCTTCCTTCTTTCCATCCTCTCTCCCTCACTTCCTCCTTTCTCTCTCCTTTTTATGTGTAGTCCTATGTTAGTGCAGAAAATATCGAAACCATTTCTACCCTACTTCAAGGATCTTTAACTTCAAGCACTAGAAGGGAGCAAAAACCTTGGGAACAGGCAAAGGAACAAAGAGGGGGACACAGATGCCACTGCTTCACTTGGTGCCACCTGGCACAACCTCATAATTAACAGAGTCCACAGATTCCTCCTTGCTCACCACTCTTTTTTAATTAAGGTAAAATTCACATAACATAAAATTAATCATTAACCATTTAAAGTGTAAAATTCAGTGGCATTTAGTATATTCACCATGTTGTACAAACATCACCTCTACGAGTTTGATACATTTTCATCACTCCCAAAATTCCATGCCCATTAAGCAGTCACGCTCCATTGCCCTCTCCACCCAACTACTAGTTTGCTTTCAGTCTCTATAGACTTACCTATTCTGAATATTTCATTAAATTGAATCACACAACATGTGACCTTTTCTATCTGGCTTCTTTCACTTAGTGTGATGTTTTCACGGTTTATCAATGTAGCATGTTTTTAGTACTTCATTCCTTTTTTATATCAGGCTAATGTTCCATTGTATGGATATACAACTTTTGGTTATCCATTCATCAGTTGATTTGTCTTGGTTCCACTTTTTGGCTGTTGTGAATAGTGCTGCTAAGAACATTAATGTGCAAGTATTTGTTTGGACACCTATTTTCAGTTCTTTTGGATCCATGCCTAGGAGTGGAATTGCTGAGTCATATGGTAATTCTATGTTTAACTTATTGACTATATTTAACTTATTAACTTATTAACTGCCAAACTGTCCACGGCAGCTGCAGCATTTTGCATTCCCATCAACAATGTATAAGAGTTCCAGTTTTTCCACATCCTCATCGATGCTTGTTATATCTGACTTTTTAAATTCTAGCTATCCTAGTGATTGTAAAGTGGTATCTCATTGTGGTTTTGATTTGCATTTCACTGATGGCTAATGATATTACATCTTTTTATGTGCTTATTGGTCATTCATGTATCTTCTTCTAAGAGATATCTATTCAAGTCCTTTGCCTATTTTGAA